CCCGTCCCCTGCTCCACCCCTCACCCCCACCGAAAACCCGGGGGCTCTCAGCTCCCGCTCCGCTGGCTTCCATCACCTCTGCAGCCCCCCAGGCCAGACTGTGCCCCCCCAGCCCTTCTGACCCTGCTCCCACGGATCTGGGGTCCCCAGAGGGTTTGAGGGGGGTGGTTCGTGCTACACCCCCATTCCGGAACCGCAGTACCCACTGTCCCCCGCCCCAGGGGCTGCAGCCTGGCGGTGCCCGCGGGGAGCAGCCCCCCAGCAGCCGGGTGTTGGCGTCACCGTGCAGCCGCCCACGCACCCATGTGGCACCCGGCTCCTCCCCGAGGACGCCGCGCAGACGCCGAGGGCCACCGTGACGTCCGAGCGGGCGACTCGGCCGTCGGGTCCGCGGGAGCCATCCGCGGCCACTGTGACCCCATCCCAACCCCACACCGGTCCCATCCTGGCTCCATCCCAACTCCATGCCATGCCCATGCCCGCCCCATCAATCCTCATCGCAGCCGTCCCGGCGTGCCAGCCGGGCCGGGGTGGGCACCGCGCCCACCGGCTGCTGCCGCCTCACCCCGCGCACCCCGTCCGGGTGCCGGCGCCCGCGGCGGGCGGGCGGCGGGGGGCACCGGGAGTGTTTCATGCGGTTAAGAAGTGTCTGATTGAGGCAGGAGGCGCCAGCAGCTCCCCCGGGAGCCGCAAGCCAAGGACTGGAGGACCAAATGCAGGCTAAAGTAATCCAATCTGGGCTGGTTCATCTAATTAGCCCAGAATTAACCCAGCAGCCAGAGAGGAGCTGACTGTCCCTCCAGTTTGCCAGCGGGTTTGGGGGGAAGCGGGAGGAAGAAGGGGACGTCCAGCGGTAATGAGATTACGGGGGGGAGCGGGCGGGAGCGGGTGCGCGGCAGCCTCTGGCCGGTGGGAGCGTGGGGCCCTGCCAGGTCCCCGCCGCGCCATCGCCGTGATGGCCGGGGCACCGGGCAGGCACCGGGGACAGGCAGGGACCCGTCCCAGCGACCCCCGCCCCGGCAGCAGCTTCGAAGCCCGCGGCATTCCCGTGGGGGACGGAAACACCGGCACGGCCGGCAGCGGGGACGTGGCACCGGGGACATGGCACCGCGAATGCGCGCAGCTGCACCGGCAGCCCCGGGGCCACGGTGGGGGACGGGGCACGGAGCCCCGGCAGCTTCGGGCAGCACCGCCGTGGTGGGGCGGGCAGGGGCCAGACCCCGTGTGTGACCCCCCTGCTCCCGGGGCAGAGGGGATGGAGGGCACGGGGTGGGGAGATGCTGGCGCAGCTCTGGCTGTGGCAGAGCCTGGTGCTGTGCTGGCTGAAGGCTGATTCCCTGCTGGAACTGGGAAAATGCGCTTTTTAATGCCACATCCCATTCAGCTGTCACTGCCACCCACGAGAACCACCAGGCCCAGCCCCTTGGGGTGGGAAGGGGCACACACCGAGGACACCGAGGTCTCTGCTGGGGCCGAGAAACGAGGAAGGTTCTGCACTGGCCCACTGGGCGGTTCCGGGTGCAGGGACTCTGCCTGGACCCCACGGTGGCTCAGGGGACCCTGGAGCAGGCACAGGGACACGGCCTCCTTCCAGGTGGTCACTGGGAAGACAGAGCCAGCGGCACAAGGTGGTGACACCTTGGCTAGTGGGGTCCCTGAGAGGGAAACACCCTACACCCACACCAGGCTGGGAAGGGGCTCAGGACTCCTTGAGCACCCTCAGTTCTTCCCCTCCCTTCCAGGGCAGCCCTGGCCGTGCCGCTGGAGGGTGCCGGGCAGGGGGGGCTGCTCCGGCCGGGGGTGCCTCTCGCAGACCCCCGTGGGCATGGGGCGGGCCCTGGCGCAAGCAGGCGCCGGGAGAGCCCGCACTGCCCCGGGCCCCGTCACAGCCCCCCAATCCATCTCCCAGCCCGGCAGATTCCAGCCCCTGGGCACGGCAACATCTGCCTCCTGCTCCGGGTTCAATTAACCTGCTGCCGCCTCCTCCTCCGGCACCAGCCATTTCCTCCCACTGCCACTGTCACCGCCGCTGCCGCCACTGTCACCGCTGTCACTGCCACTGCCGCCGCCATGGCTGCACCCCAGCGGGTCACAGCGGGTCCCTTTGCCGCAGCACACCCGGAGCCAGGTGGAAAAGCCACAGTGGGAACGCTGGGATTTGTCCCGGCACCTGCCGGGCTGCGAGCAGGAAAGGCCAGAAAGCCGTGGCGCCTGCAGGGCAGGGTCCCGCTGCTGTGTCCCCCTCCCCTTTTGGGCACACGAGGCTCCGCCGGTGCCCCTGGTGTGGAAGGAGCAGCTCGGCCGTTCCCGGCGCCGGGGTGGGCTGTGGGCATGGCCGAGGGTGGCACAGGGCGTGTGCCCGTGCAGCCCCGCTTCCCGCGGCCCCACACCCGGCAGAGCTGCGGCTGCAGGGACGGGCACCCCACACTGCGGCGAGCCTGGGACCACCCGGTGCTCCCCGGTGCCTGCGATGCCCCGGGGTGTGCAGTGCCCCCGGTGCGGCAGCTGCAGCCCCCGGTGCCGCCGTGATTTACAGGCGCAGGCCCCGGTAATGTCATTTGCCCCAGACGGGTGGCGCCAGGGTGCCCGGGAAGCCGCCTCCGCCCCTCCAGCCCCTGTCCCGGGGCCGTGACCCGCCCGGGAGCCGCCGGGAACCCACCCGCGGGGCCGCCGCGATGCTGTCGCGATAGTCGTCGGAAGACCCGACAATGCCGCTCTCCGCCGCCGTTACCGCCCGCCGACGGGGCCGGGCTGGGCTCTATGACCGGGAAAGGCGGGCGGGGAACAGGGGTCCATCCCAGGGAACAGCGGGTCGGGAAGCAGGGGTCTGTCCCCGGGAATGGCGGGGCAAGGGGTGTCGGACTCCATCCCCCTGAACAGTCTGCTCCGTGGAAAATGGGGTCCGTGATACCGGGAACGGCAGGTCCCGGGGAAGGGGGATTCATGGCCCGGGAACTGAAGGTCGGCGTGGGCTCGGTGCCCCGGGAAAGGCGGTTTCCCGGGAACTGAGATCCCAGGTACCGGCAACGGCGGCTTGAGGAGATTGGGATCTGTGTCCCGGGACGTGTCCGTGTTCTGGGAACGGCGAGTCCGAACAACCCCTGGGTCCCCGCACCGGGCGCGTTGGCTCCGGGGCCGCCAGATCCATTCGCTCCCGTACGGACGGGCTCGGTGCGAAACCTGCTCACCGCAGGCACCGGTCCGTGCGCCCGCGATAACGGCGCTGGGGCAGCGGCCGCTTCGTGCGCCCCGGGAGGGGCGGCGGGAAGCGCCGACGGGGCTGCGGACGGAGCGGGGACGCCAAAAGGCGCCGCGCTGCTGCCCGATGCGACAGCGGCTCCGGTGGACCGGGTAGGCGGCCCGGCGGACGCCCCGGCGGGGGGAACGGGTGCGGAGCCCGTCGGTGCACGGAAGGCGCTCGGGACACGACGGGCCCGTCCGCTTGTCCCGGACCCGGGGCGGGGGCCTGGAGCGGCGGGGG